TCGGGGTAGTCGCACACCCAGGCGTACAGCAGGGGCCGTACAGTTTGCCAATCTCCGAAAGGGTCCCTGAGACGGAACCCGCTGCAAGGAACAGGTAGAGGGGCAACAGGAATTCGGGTTACGCCTTTTAGGGAGGAATGACGAGGGGCAAAGGGCCATGCTACATACAGAGAGGGTTTGCATACCATGCAGGTGGTGAGATGATGTCTTAGCAAGATGCAAACCGAGTACGGACCTGGCGATGCCATCAAAAAGCGGCTGCAGCACGGTGATGACGTAACGCTGGAAGAGCATCACCTTCTCCACGGCAGACATTGCAGACGGGGGGATAGGAAGGAGGGCAAAGTAGTGTGTGCCCGGCTTTCCCCCATCGCTTGGCCTGGGAGATGTTGGCCAGCGTCATCATGAGCGGCCACGCCTTCTTCCGGCCGTTGATGCTCATGTGCGTCACATCCGAATATAAGATGATCCCCCCCACAACTTCGGACCAACCGGAGTGTTCCTGCAGTGCACGACAAAGCGGCAACGGACACACGGTTTAGGGCTCAAGATGCTCTTGACAGATCAGTGCAGCGATGGAGGCATGAGGAAGGATTGGGTTTGGGGTGGCAACGTGGTCTTTCCTTACCTGAGCATCGTTGCACCACGTTCCTGTTTCAGGCGTGGTATAGCGACGGCTGCCTGCGTCAGGGTCCTCATCAACACGCGCCTTGAGCTTGAAACCGGGCGCGTTGTTGGGATGTCCAAACATTTCAGCGAATGCCTGGTGTACGGTGGCGAAGGCAGGTGAGAGGAGAGGCATGGTTAGTGGCGGTGAAGGTGGGTGTACGGTTAATACAAGGATAACTACGTACATGCAAACCCTGTGTGCCTCATCATCATTTCACGGCCTTGAATGCAAAGTCGGCTTACCTGGGCTGAGTTCTGAAAGAGCAAGCGCTGTGGTGGATGACCGTCAATCTCGAAGGTCGCCACCGACCATCCGCAATTGAGCCCTGCCAAACGCTCCATCTCGAACCGCTCCAGATCCTTACAGTGCCGGAGCTCCGAGATCACAAGAGGCGCAAGGCCGGGCTCTACGACTAGCTGAAGCAGGCCGTTGATGTCAACCTCGGCCATTCCCATTCCGCCATTCACGCGCCGAACGAAATGCAGCAGCTTCAACGCGAGCGGATTGAGGGGCGTGGCATTGCTCTGTCTGGAGATGATTGTTGGCGGCGCGGCATGACTCCTTTCGGCCCGGCTCTCAGGATGGTCACTCGTGTCAGCCACAGGAGCTCCTGGTTGTGGTTGATGTTCATCTTCAGGAGGCCCCTCGTTCACGTTGTTGGGAGTTTCGTCAACGTGAGCTTCAGGCACGCGTGGAGGACCGCTCACACTGACGGCGTTGGATGCGTTAGACGCTGTAGGTGAACCGGGAGCGGCTGGAGCGTCCGACACAATGTCGTGGACGAATAGCAGAGCGTGAAGACCGGCGGTCGGTGCAGATCCCGTCGGCCTTGCCATGGCGGATAGTCCTTGGCAAGGGGTCCGCCGTGACTTATGACCGCCATAAACTTGGGCGTTGGGGAACCATCTGCTGCAGAACTCGTAGACGACGCCTGGTAAAGAGCCCATGTGTTACGGATCCGTTGTAGAGTCGAGAAATTGCCTATGAAGCTACTAGCCGTGATGAAGCTTGTGAACGCATTAAGTACTGCGTTCAAGAAGCCTGTGATAGCTAGACGATCATCGCCAATGCGCGCACTGTGGTGGGTGGCTTGTATCACTGCACGATTGGCACTTGACATTGGCGCTAATGTTTATGACTGGCTAACGATGTCGAGCCGCGTGGTCGTTACCAGGCACGATACAGACCGCCCACCTCACGGGCCGTCTTCCCTACAAGGCGTGTCGCCCCCGTTTAGAGTGACCACGACGTGAGCAGAGGAGAATGCGGAGGATCTTAAGTCTCACGGTCGTGTGTGTGCGTCGCGAGCACGGTAAGAAGGACGTGCCTATTGAATCAAGAACTTGTGTTTAGGAACCGTGCGTGAGAGTAGAGGGGGATGAGGAAGAGTGGGAAGAGATCCGTTTGGATCTGTGATTGTGTCGCGAATCGATATAGGGGGAAAATCAGAATCACGTAGGTGAGCTCAAGAGGCTTCAAACAAACATGGAAATGCAAATGTACAATTACAACTTAACAAGACACTCAAGTCATTCATAACTAGTAAACATTCATATCCTTAGGACAGATGTTGAACAACCCTTTCTTGATAACGATACAGGAAGTACCCAATAACTCCATGCCCTAACGTATGTTTGTTGCGTGGAGCGAATACCTATAGCGTGTCTTCTCTCGAGGTGTAGTGTAACTCTACGCACCGTGCTGAATGAATATGCAAGAATGGATGACAATGTCATACAATAACACAACGGTTTCAATGTCCATGCAATGTTGGATGACAATGCAACACCATACCACAACGGATTCACCATGTCACGCAACCCGCAGGCCTGAACGCTGCATCGTCGCACAGTCTAACCATGGCTGTCGATAACGCATCTACGCGTGTGCGTTGGGCCTGTGCTTCATACAACTCCTTCTAAGCACCTTGTTTAATGTCTGTGCAAGAATGGATGCCAATGCAACACCATACCACAACGGATTCACCATGGCGCGCAACCCGCAAGCCTGAACGCTGCATCGTCGCACAGTCTAACCATGGCTATTAATAACGCATCTACGCGTGTGCGTTGGGCCTGTGCTTCATACAACTCCTTCTAAGCACCTTGTTTAATGTCTGTGCAAGAATGGATGCCAATGCAACACCATACCACAACGGATTCACCATGTCGCGCAACTCGCAGGCCTGAACGATGCATCGTCGCACAGTCTAACCATGGCTGTCGATAACGCATCTACGCTTGTGCGTTGGGCCTATGCTTCATACAACTCCTTCTAAGCACCTTGTTTAATGTCTGTGCAAGAATGGATGCCAATGAAACACCATACCACAACGGATTCACCATGTCGCGCAACCCGCAGGCCTGAACGCTGCATCGTCGCACAGTCTAACCATGGCTGTCGACAACGCATCTACGCTTGTGCATTGGGCCTGTGCTTCATACAACTCCTTCTAAGCACCTTATTTAATGTCTGTGCAAGAATGGATGCCAATTCAACACCATACCACAACGGATTCACCATGTCGCGCAACCCGCAGGCCTGAACGCTGCATCGTCGCACAGTCTAACCATGGCTGTCGATAACGCATCTACGCTTGTGCGTTGGGCCTGTGCTTCATACAACTCCTTCTAAGCACCTTGTTTAATGTCTGTGCAAGAATGGATGCCAATGCAACACCATACCACAACGGATTCACCATGTCGCGCAACCCGCAGGCCTGAACGCTGCATCGTCGTACAGTCTAACCATGGCTGTCGATAACGCATCTACGCTTGTGCGTTGGGCCTGTGCTTCATACAACTCCTTCTAAGCACCTTGTTTAATGTCTGTGCAAGAATGGATGTCAATGCAACACCATACCACAACGGACTCACCATGTCGCACAACCCGCACGCCTGAACGCTGCATCGTCGCACAGTCTAACCATGGCTGTCGATAACGCATCTACGCGTGTGCGTTGGGCCTGTGCTTCATACAACTCCTTCTAAGCACCTTGTTTAATGTCTGTGCAAGAATGGATGCCAATGCAACACCATACCACAACGGATTCACCATGTCGCGCAACCCGCATGTCTGAACGCTGCATCGTCGCACAATCTAACCATGGCTGTCGATAACGCATCTACGCTTGTGCGTTGGGCCTGTGCTTCAAACAACTCCTTCTAAGCACCTTGTTTAATGTCTGTGCAAGAATGGATGCCAATCCAACACCATACCACAACGGATTCACGTTTGTTACTATTGATAATCGTGTTAGAACGTCGTCCGCTGGCCCTAAGCCATTGTGGCAAAGCCTAAATGTGCACAGTACATCTGTCACAAGTAATAATTCTGGACGGTCGTTGTGTGTGTGATGTAAGAATCACCGATTAACTTACCCCAACCCCGTGGTAAACCATTTGCAACTTAGAGTTTGATGAAATGCATTGTTATATGTTTGAATAAAATTTAGTGATTTATGCGTTGGCAACAGTGATTGGCCGACGCATCTCAAACGATTCCCCCCGCAACACAGTCATCAGCCAAGAGGTACTTCAGCCATTGAGCGGCTGAGATCGAACGGTAGGTGGGTTTATGCTAGGGTGGCTACACGTACACCGTCCAATATAGCCTGATAGGGTTACATTACTCTCTCTAGTCTCGCAACCCACCCCAACCACCCTCGTGTCCCACCCACCTGCTTCGGTCACTCCCTAGACCAACACTTTGACGCTGCTTGTTGCCTTGACACACTTTAGCGAGAAGCATAGTGGCTACTATGACAGATTTAGTTGAAGCGGCGGTTTTCGAAACCCCTTACAGTGATAGACCGTATATAATCCCATCGTGGGATTCAATTGCAGAACCCTTTCGAAACCGGCTCAACCCTTCCGCGCGATTTGCAACTTTGCTCCTCCTACAATTACCATGACACGTGCAACACGTAACCAAGCAATGGAGGAGGAACAGGCCGGCCGCCGCGCGACAAGGAGGACGTCTAAACAAATCGATAGGGAGTGTGGTGACGGCGCTAAAAAAACTAATGCGTTCGTCGCTCGTGGCATTGGGAAGAAGAAAGCGGTGGCAAAAAAGGTCGCGCGCGGTCAACAGGAGGCCGGCAAGAAAGCTGAAGACAAGGGCCCTAAACCAACGCCACGCAAACGTGTTTCTACAGTGAACAAAGATGCGGATGTTGCCTCGGCTGGAACCGAGCCCGGTCCGAGTAAAGACGGTACCACTGGCGGCAACGAAGATCCGAGGCGAGGGAGCGCAAGTCTTGCACTCCCGTCGGCGGAGATGGAGGGATCGGCGACGGAGGGAAATCACGGAGGCGATCCCCGCGCCGAGCATGCCGCAACCAAGGAGTCCGAGGCTGCGGCAACGCAACACCATCTGACGCTACTCCAGCCGACCGTGGTCGAAGTTTTGCAGCCGTGCTGGATAAGGACAAGGTGGGGGAGCACGAGTCAGTGGGGCTGGTCGGTGGCTCTCCATCTTCTGGTGGACGGGGGAGGCGTAGGCAGAGGAAGAGCGATGGGGAGGACGATTATGAAACCGCCGTGCCCGGGGACCTCATTACGCGGGCGAAGAGGCGGCAGACGACAGGTAGTGCTGACGACGCCGGAGGCGCGGCAGTTGGGACACCGCGAGGCGCCAAGGAAGCTAGTGGCAAGGCGGGCGGTCAAGCATTGCGCCAGAAGGGCCGACCCGTAGCAAGAAAAGCATCCGGCGGAAGGAGAGGCAATAAAGCAGCGACGGGAACAAAGCCAAAACGGGGCGATGAAGACCCCGGTGATGCGGAGGAGGAGGAGGATGAGGAGGAGGATGCGGAGGGAGAGGAGGATGAAGAGGAAGCGGAGGAGGATGACGCGGATGTTGGGGAGGATTAAAAAGATGAGAATGATGGCGGGGAGGACGAGGAGGAGGAGGAGGAGGAGGAGGAGGAGGAGGAGGAGGAGGAGGAGGAGGAGGAGGAGGAGGAGGAGGATGAGGAGGAGGAGGTGGAGGAGGAGGAGGAGGAGGAGGAGGAGGAGGAGGAGGAGGAGGAGGAGGAGGCAGAGGAGGAGGAGGAGGAGGAGGAGGAGGAGGAGGAGGAGGAGGAGGAGGAGGAGGAGGAGGAGGAGGAGGCAGAGGAGGAGGAGGAGGAGGAGGAGGAGGAGGAGGAGGAGGAGGAGGAGGAGGAGGAGCAGGGTGACGACGAGGAGGATGTGGAGGAGGAGGAGGAGGAGGAGGCAGCGGAGGAGGAGGAGGAGGAGGAGGAGGAGGAGGAGGAGGAGGAGGAGGAGGAGGAGGAGGAGGAGGATGTGGCGCCAGTGAAGGGACGGGGCGGGCGTGGCAGATGGGTGAGTGGTACAGGGAAGGAGGGGGGCCGGAGTCGCCCTTCCCGAAAATGCGGGGCAGTTGACGCTGCGCGCGGCGAAGCATCGGGCAAACCGAAGGCGCGTAAGGTGAAGGTCGAAAGTGAAGGGGTTGGTAAAAAGCAAGGGAGCCAGGGAGCAAAAGGGGATGGAGGAGGAAAGGGTGGCCGCGCCAAAGGGGTTCCAGTGGGTACCAGCAAGAAAGAACCTGCCGGTAAACGTCGCAGCGTCCGCCAAAGCACCCCGCGGAAAGGTGGCAACGAGAAGGCGCAGGCTGCCCCAAAACCGAAGGGACAGCAGAAAGGTGAGCATTGTGTCCAATAAAACTGGCGTGACGTGTTGAACCATCTGCTAAACCGGGCCAAAAAACACCCTTTTTTCACATTGTTTCTCCCATGCAGGGAAGGAGAAGGTCGACGAATCTGCCAAGCAAGGTAAACCCTCTTGTCTCAAACCAGTACAACCCTGAACCCAATCTAGATTCAAACCTTTCTGAATATGCATGCATGTCTAGCCCCGCCTTGAAACCGATCAACTCTATTTTTTTTTTTCCAGCTCCCTCTACATCTGAGCCCCTCGCGTTACAGGCATTGGGCCGCCCGTAAGCGTGCAACGAATGCATCTAACGAAGGCTGCCGGAAGAGCGAGTGTTAGACCGCTCTCCTCCAGAGCACCAAGGTACTACACGCCATGGGCCGGCCCGAGCATAGTCGCTGCGACGGCACCAGGCGCGCCAAGAGGAGAGGAATCCGAATCCCCTCCACCCACCCCCGTCACGCAGTCCCCACTCGCCTCACCCTCGTACCAATTTCGGCAACTCCACGCTTCTCCTGTCCGGGGCAGGGCGGTCTCCCCTCTCGCCAATCCTTCGCGCGGGCATCAGGCAGGCAGTTATGCCAATCCCTTCCCTGAGCTCCCCTTTTCCCGCCAGCGTGATAGTGTGAGGGCACACGGGACTGCTGCAGAAGACGTTGATCCCCTTGGCCAGAGGGGGGATTCTTCACACCCTTTTCCTCCGCTCATGGGTGCCCTAGGTGAAAGTGCGAAGCACGAGCATTTTGTTACACGGGAGGAGTTCCAGGCGCTGCGATCTGAGATGTACGCCATGTTTGCACAGCTCGGCCTGCGTCGTGGAGTACCTGCCAGCTATGCCGGCGGGTCGGCAGCCCTGCCTATGGCTGGTACCCCGCCGCTGATGAGCGCCGTGGACAAGGCACGAGTGCTAGTGTTGCAGGAGACAAACCCATTCCCGGTATGTGGCGGGCCACATGGGGAGGGTTGGGGTTGACGTGGCAACAAGGGCGGGGTTGGGGCTGACGTGGCGGTTTCAAAGGGAACACAGGAGCGGCGCGTGACGAGGCGACGCGTATCAGGTGGGTGGGGGGTGACGTGGCATGGGGTGGGTGGGTGTGACGTGGCAAGTGGCGCGGGTTGTTGGTGGACGTGGCGAATGCGGGTTGGGTGTGACGTGGCAAAAGGTGAGGGTTGGGATATGACGTGGCAGTGTGAAAGGGTGCAAGGGAGTGCCGCATGACGGCGCGAGGCATTTCAGGTGGGTGGGGGGTGACGAGGCTCTTGGTGGGGGGTGTGACGTGGCAAGTAGGGCGGGTTGTTGGCGGATGCTGGGGGGTGTGACGTGGCAGAATGTGAGGGTTGGGGCTGACGTGGCGGTTTGGAATGGTACACGGGAGCGGCGCGTGACGAGGCGACGCGTGTCAGGTGGGTGGGGGGTGACGTGGCATGGGGTGGGAGGGTGTGACGTGGCACGTGGGGCTGGTTGCTGGTGGACGTGGCGGATGCAGGAGGGTGTGACGTGGCATGTGGGGCTGGTTGGTGGACGTGGCAGACAAGGAGGGTGTGACGTGGCACTTGGGGCTGGTTGGTGGACGTGGCGGATGCAGAAGGGTGTGACGTGGCGGAAGGTGAGGGTGGGGGATGACGTGACAGATGCAGATGGGTGTGACGTGGCGGAAGGTGAGGGTTGGGGATGACGTGGCACCCTAAAAGGGTACACGTGAGCGGCGCATGACGAAGCGAGGCGTCTCGGGTGGGTGGGGGGTGACGTGGCTCTTGGTGGGGGGTGTGACGTGGCAAGTAGGGCGGGTTGTTGGCGGATGCAAAAGGGTGTGACGTGACAGAATATGAGGGTTGGGGCTGACGTGGCGGTTTGGAATGGTACACGGGAGCGGCGCGTGACGAGGCGACGCGTGTCAGGTGGGTGGGGGGTGACGTGGCATGGGGTGGGAGGGTGTGACGTGGCACTTGGGGCTGGTTGTTGGTGGACGTGGCGGATGCAGGAGGGTGTGACGTGGCACGTGGGGCTGGTTGGTGGACGTGGCGGACAAGGAGGGTGTGACGTGGCGGAACGTGAGGGTTGGGGATGACGTGGCGGATGCAGGTGGGTGTGACGTAGCGGAAGGTGAGGGTTGGGGATGACGTGGCGGTTAGAAATGGTACACGTGACCACTGCGCATGACGAAGCGAGGCGTGTCAGGTGGGTGGGGAGTGACGTGGCTTGTGGTAGGGGGGTGTGACGTGGCAAGTGGGCCGGGTTGTTGGTGGACGTGTCTGATGGCGCAGGGTGTGACGTGGCAATTTCAAACAGTGTTGCTAGTCACCATCCCATGGTCACGCGACCACCCTCATAACTGCTGGTTTCTCTCTTCCATGTCATGTTGTATACCTTACACCCCTGCGCAGAACAAAGCCTACTTAGTGTGCTCTCAGCTCATGTTTCTGAACCCGCCGGAGAAAATACAGTACTACCCTTCACCGGAGGAAGTGTTCGAAGCGTTCTCTGTCCACTTGTCTGCAGAAGGGCTCGAGGCAATGAAGCTGCTGTGGTTGCACAATAACAAGTCAACCATGGGAGTCTTCAACCACTAGCTGTCCTCAACAAGGTCAACTATCAACTCCACCCTCAGGCCAGCAGCATACACCGGCATGGGCCTTGCCGATTACAGCCATCTTGTGGATAGCCTGCCCACTGAGCTACACCCAACGACCTGGTTCGACGACGATCAACTCCTAGCCGAGTACAGAGATGGTATGTGCAGTGCAACTCGAAAACACAATATGCCCTACCATATGCCCCTGACTCTCATCCCCCCATTTGATTTCTCTACAAAACCCTTTCCAACCCATACCCTCCCTGCCAAAAAGCAGAATAGTGGGCCCTCAACTGGCACTTTGACAAGGCCACCGGGACACCCTTCAGCAACCCCTTGTTCGCTTATGCGTTCAAACTCTCCTTCAAGAGGGGCGGGGCGGTGTTCACCAAGTTCAAGAGCCACATGGTGGCATGGGGCCTGTTTTCGGTAAGGATGTAGATATGTGTTTGTACCCCTATGCCTCATCCCCTTAACCCCTTGCCTGTACTTCAGCTAAAACCCTGGTCGATTAGGCCTTTGCAGTTACGTAGATAGTGACGACTGCATCACCGCTTTCAGTTGCCTCATTTACCCGTAACCTACCCTCCTCATAAACCATCCACCCAACCCTACACCACATTGCAGATCGAATGGCCACTTCTGCAGGATAAGCGTCGCAAGCGAATCAGTAGCCAGCCGGAGCAGAACAGGCCAGACTACCAGGAGTGGTGCGAAAAGGTCAAACAGATGATCCATTTTGCTGTCGTGGAGCGGAGGATCCCCCACGATCTGGCTATGGGTGCGTTCGTCTTTCCGAACAAGTTCCTCATCGACGACGGCGACCTTGGAGATGTCGTCCTTGCCCACCGGGCGCTTTCAAGGCCCGCCAGTGCGTAGGCTATTTGACCTGGTGCTAAGACTGCTTGTTGCTAGAATGCTGAATAATGGTTCTTGTAAACCGCAATAATAAATGCAATTTTGAAATCCTCAATATCCAAAATGAACAAAAACAGAATATAGTTCTGAATAATTTGGTCACGAATTTGCAACAAAACGGATTGCGCCCGAATGTCATCCAGAAAAGCTCGCGGGCCAAATTGGAACTTGAACCGAGCCAAACCTTGTCGAAAGATGTGTCTCGGAGCTCCTATCAAATGACTCCAACCGTCGGTCCAAATTGGCTCCGGATTTTTTTACGCGAAGACAATCGAAATCAAAATTCGTCCAAACTTAGCATAGGGTTTTTGTGATGACTCCTGGGGGTGAGCTTGTGGCAATCTGTACGGACTCACGAACTGGCGCCCACCTCGTCACGTACACTCGAAGACCAGTGTCTGGCCTGTACACACTGTCCACTGAGTCTGCACAGGTAGTTGCGTCCGGTCAATAAGCTGCGCCATGTTCGTGTCGCCTTCTCACGCACCAGTCTCTCCTCTGGCACCACCATCTTGGTCACCCCTCCCTGCCGCATCTGCGTAGCATGCATTCTCGTCTCCTTGTCTCTAACCTCCGTAGGTCCCTACCTCCGCTCCCACGCTCGCTTGCACCGCCGTGCCTTCCATGTGTCGAGAGGCGGCAGCGCACCGCTCCGCACTCCTCCTCGTTTCCTCCAACCACTACTCCTTTGCAGACTTTTCACATGGACGTATGGGGCCTCGCATGCGTCTGTGGACAGGACCACGAGTGCTACATTCTACTGGTTGTTGATGACTACACGTGCTACACCACGGCCTTCCCCTTGTAGAGCAAGGCGGGTGTCCGCGGTGTTTTGATCCCCTGGATCCGCACTGTTCGTCGCCAGCTGAGCGCGCAGTTTCAGCAGGACCTTCACGTCATGCGACTACATTCTAACAGAGGTGGTGAGTTTTGCTCTTGCCTCCTTGAGGACTTTTGTCATGTGGAGGGCATTGCTCAGTCGTTCACGTATCTGAACTCTCTGCAGCAGAATGGGATTTTTGAGCGCGGCATTGGCTTGATCATGGAGGTTGCTCGCACCTCCATGATCCATGCGGCTGCTCCCCATTTTCTGTGGCCGTTTACGGTCCGATACGCCGCGCATCAACCTCTAGCCCCGTGTCTCTGTGCCGGAGACCTCGCCTACAGTCCGTTGGACGGGGGAGGTTGGCAATGCGTCACAATATCGGGTCTGCGACACGCTCTCCCTTGTCTGTGATACCACCACGGACAACCTCCTCGCACTCTGCGCTGCGTCTTCCTTGGCTTCCCCACCGACGGCCCGCCCTGGAAGTTTTACCACCTTGCCTCGCGCCGCGTCCTGTCCTCCCAGGACGTCACCTTTGATGAGTCGGTCTGCTTCTTCCATCTCCACTCACACGCGTCTTCCCCAGTCCCTCCGCCGTTCCTCTTCCTAGTTCCAAGTTCCCCCTAGTAGACCCCCTCCACCCATTGGGTCCTGCTCCCTCACGTGTGTCTCGGGTCGACCCACCCCCCTTGGTTGAGCCTTTGGAGGTCTCCTCTGACACCTCAGGCTCAGAGGGGGGTGAACCGACTGCTGACAACACAATGGCCACTCGCTGCTCCCCACGCTTGGAGACTCCTCTTGGTTTCCCGCCTCTGCAGCCTCTCCCTGTGGACTCCGGTACTGCTGGGGGTGGTGGCACTGGGGATGCTGGTTTTGGGGGTGCTGACTCTAGGGGTGCTGCTAGTCCTAGTGGTGGTGGGGTCGTGGGTGCTCCTGCTGGAGGTTCTTGTGTTGGACAGTAGCAGCAGTCTTGTCGACAAGAGACTCTCTCGCAGCAACAGCTTCGCGAGTGGGTGATTCGACGAGGCCGCTATGGTGCTGGAGCTTGGGGTACTGGTGCTGGAGTTGCTGGTGCTGGAGGTGCTGGAGCTGCTGGTACTAGAGGTGCTGGTGCTGGGGGTACTGGAGCTACTGGTGCAGAAGGTGCTGGAGCAAAAGGTACTGGAGGTACTGGAGCTCCTGATGCTGGAGGTGCGAGAGCAGGAGGTACTGGTGTTACAATGTAATGAATTGATAGAAAATGTGAAGTACAACCCTAGATATAGCAAACCCTAATCATTTAAGGAAGTAGAAATGTAACACATAGACTAACCTAAACAACACATATATATTATATGTTGACACACCCCCATAGTCTAGGTGACGGTAACCCCGTGGAAAGACAACACATATCCCAGGGTGGGTCTCAAGGACACACACAGTCTGAGAGCAAACAAGGGTCACATGACCAGTCAGCAAGAACAAGAACAAGCAAGGGTCATAAGACCAGTCCTCAAGAACAAGACAAATCTCAGGGTGGAGCTCAAAGTCACCACACAGTCCGAGAGCAAGCAAAAGAGCCACAAGGCCAGTTCACATGCAGGTATATAGCAAATATATTGAGATGCAAGAGTACAAGACAATAAGAACAAAGCATCTACGTAAGCAAGTGAGGAC